CTTTCAACATCAGCAAAAATCATCAGTGTGGAATTGATATTGGGAAAACCATCATCATCTTCTTCCCTATCCTCACCTTCGTCCGACTCCTTTTCCTTCTCCTTGGGTTGTTTCTCTCCGAACTGCTGGACAAGGAAACAGCACTGTCGAGTGGTGTGTTTAGGGTAAATGATGTTCCCCTCTTCATCTTTTTTGGTATGAATATGGCATGGTAAATTCAACACATCATTCCCATCTTTATCCTTAACTTTTTTGGGAGCCTAGAGCCCCTTGGGCTTTCCTTTGAACTTTCCTTGGGCAACAGCTAAAGCTTCACCTGGAGCAGCTGGTTCATCCTTTCGCTTCTGTTTCTGACTGGAATTCCCTCCTCCGGTTTCTTGGGCGACTGTTTTGTGCTTGCCACTCCGGAGTCGGTCTTCCTGTTCACCATTGGCATATTTGGTGGCAATCTCCATCATCCGAGTCAGAGTCATATCTCCTGTCCGACCAAATTTCATATTCAACTCCCGATACTTAACGCCTTCCTTGAAGGCACAATTTCTTGGTGATCTGACACATTCTCCACTGTATGGTGCAACGTGATCCATCTCTGGATATAATCCCTCAAGGTTTCATTCGGTTTCTGGACACAACACTGCAATTCTGTCAACCCTGCCAGCCTTTTGCAAGTGCCTTCAAAGGTCCTAACAAACACTCGAGCAAGTTCCTCCCAACTATATATACTGCCAGGAGCCAACTGATTCAACCATGCTCTGGCTGAGCCCTCCAACATCAAGGGGAGGTGCTTCATAGCCACATCATCATTGCCGCCACCAATCTGCACAGCCACTCGGTAGTCCTCAAGCCAAGTGTTTGGCTTGGACTCGCCGGTGAATTTGCTGACTCCAGTCGTCAACCTGAAGTTGGGAGGAATCACTGCTGCTCTGATGGCTCTGCTGAAACACTCGGGTCCTGAACGTGCACCCTGCTTCCAGTCGGATGATCTCTATCATGGCCTTCTCTATCAGCTCTGTTCCTATCAACCAGACCTTGAACGAGGATAGATCTTGCATCAAAGACTGCCTCTCTAGGGTCGACTGGAATTCTTCATTTGCCGCTGTGGGGGCGCCTGTCATCTTGCCGCCGAGGCACGTATGATCCACTCCTCGGAGGAGGCGTGGGCATTCGACGACGGTCATCGTGGTCGAGTCGATGATCATACTGCTCACGGTTCCTGTACTGATCTTGCCGGTGCCCACGTCCCTCACGCTGCGGAGGCGATCTTGGGCTGTGAGCAGATTGGACAGTATCTGCCACCATAGATCTGCTATGAATCCTATTCCGTGACTGAGATACTGTTGTATTCTGCTCTCCCCCTGCCCGGAGCAAAGCCCGGATCTGCATCAAACCTCGGCCAGCTTCTGACATGGAAGGTTGAATTGACTCTGCTATTCGAGCTGCAGCTGTGAGATTCTAGATCGGAGTTCGGTATACCTGAGTTGGAGACGGAAAAAGTTGTCGTCGACTGGATTCAGGAATTCACTGCCGAGCACGCTCGTCGAGTGCGCGTTGGAGGTTCTCCAGTCGAGTGCGCTCAGCTAAGTTGGCCAGGCATGCCTCATCCAAGGCCTGGGCCTCGGGGGTTTCTCCAACGATAGGAGTGTGAAGTGCATCCATGTTACGGCGGCGAAGCTCTTCCCTCCGCTGCGAAGCGAGGGGTTCAGGGCGGTACTCCTCATGGACATGCAATGGGTCGCCGACGCCATCGCCCCCGTCTTCACGGGTGAAGCCAGGAGGACTGCATGGTCCATTGACCATCAAGACTTCCGCCGGGGTCGCTGTTGTCGCACTCGGATGCGGTCTCGACGGAGCTAGTCGACAGATCGAATAGGCCGTAGAGAGTTTCATCGGGCTCGATCGCCATGATTTGTGGGGTGGCCGATTGGCGGGCCACCGCATGCCTCACCCACTGCTGAAGTCGCGACCGACCGCATCGCTGGCGCCGGCGAACAACGAAAAGCGAGGTTGCCATAGGAGCCGACCGATACTGAGTCGACGGCTGCCGAAGAAGGACACCGCGGACGCATGCGCGGAAGTGCGTCGCCCCGCGTACGGGGAGCGCCCCGACGTCGAGTGGAGCCTCGTGGAGCCAAGCAGAGTCGTCGACGATGAAGACAAGCGCGCCGAGACGGATCTCGCGGCCTTCAGCCAATCCTCCGCCGGAAACCATGATGACGGGAATCAGAAAAATCGCAACTTCTCCAACAAACTGCTAAGACACCTGCCCCACGGTGGGCGCCAACTGTCGTGGTTCTAAGACTGACAGTAGAATGGGGGTAGGTATGAGGAGCCAAGATCCTAGCTATGGAGTAGTTGTACACACGAGTTTACGAGTTCAGGCCCTTCTCGGAGGAAGTAATAGCCCTACGTCTCGATGCCCTGAGGCGGTCGACTGGTTTATATGTGTGTGTGTTTACAAAAGATGTGAACCCCAGACCTGGAGGAGGGGTGGCTTATATAGAGTGCGCCAGGACCCCAGCTCCCATCCGTTATGCGGGACTTAATGTACATAAAGGTGGAGCGTTACAGGTAACGTCCGTATTAAAGTGTTATAAATGGTAGTTAAGGCTATGAGTAAACGCCCGACCGTTGCTGTGTAGAGTGGCTTCAGATCTTCTGTTCGTCGAGTGACTTCTGTGACGGTCGAGTGACATTGATTCTTCTGAGTGGAATGTCTCTGGTCGAGTGGATGATGGTACCCTTTGAATGCTACTGGCTTTAAGGTGATGTCCTTGGGGAGGTAGTCTAGGTTAGGCCTATGACCCTACCCTAGGTACATAGCTTCATCACCCTCCCCCCCCCCATCGTCTTCTTCCCTGAGCAAGCAACACATTCTTTTCCATCACTAACCGCGCAAGCTTGGTCCCTCTAGCTGCTTCACAGCCGATCGCCGTGCCAATGGCCGCTGTCCATCACCTTCAAACCAGACGAAACGGCCACAATTTTTGCTGCAATCGACACCATGGTTGTTGGAACTAGCCACATCGTGCTACATGCTTTTGATGATGGACAGTGGGGTGCTGCCACTCGGCCATGTGAGACGCTTGCCCGGACTGGTAGTAATAGGGTGGGGGCGAGGGGGCATGCTGCAACAGCGATGGATGTTGCCGGAGGCATTGCAGAACCACCGGACACCCTCGTGTTGCAACCGCTGACAGAAAAGGCTTCAAACCCTTCATGGAAAGCTTCAACCGGATACAGGGAAAGCTCCAAGCAGTCAATGCCATTGTGGGAAGCTACAACCGTTCGCATAAAATGCTACAACCTTCGATGAAAAAAGCTTCAATTGAAAAGATAGAGAAACCTTTCACCAAGAGCTGCTCAAAAAGAAAATAGCTGCAACCTTAATAGGAAAGCTTCGACCGTAGACGAAAAAAGCTCCAACCATTGAAAGAGAAAGCTACAACCAGACACTACGCAATCAGAAAAGTTGCAACCATTGACAGAGAAAGCTTCAATCGTATGTGCGAAAAGCTTCAGCCGGCGACTTGCGAGGGGGAAAGCTACGGCCAGTGACCTGGGATGGGCGAGACGAAGATACTACATTGGTCTTTCTGCTGGAACCGGCACTTGTTTTTTGCTACGACCGGTGGTTAATTTTGCTGCTACTGGCAACCCGAGGAGGGATGCATCTTTTTTGTGAGCTCGCCGTCGAGACATTGTGCCCGACGAGCCGTCGCCATCGAATCGCGGCCGTTGTGCACTGGAGTTGCGAGCATCGCCACCGAACCTGCAAGCGCGCAACCACGGGCACATGCTGTTGCATGCACGGAGGCGAGAAAATGCATAAGGTAATCGACGCAGGTGAGGATGACTGCCGGCGGCAACGAGCAGGACGCCGGTGAGGGCGGGCGGCGCAGTGCTGCGACCGAAGGCGACAAAGCACGGCGTCGTGCATTCGAGGAGCTGCGCGAGATGCAGGACCAACGAGAGGAAGGAGAAGCGCGAGGGCAAACCGTTTTTCTGCCCGATCCAATGGCCCACCTGGATCACATCCGACGGATCACGCTTGACCGGCCGGAATTGTTGGGCCGGTGCGCCGACGCGTATTAGTCGCCTAATTAATATCCTTTATCAAAGAAAGAAAGTAAGATTTCATAGAGTTTAGTTGTGTAGATTTGAACTTCCTTCGTTTTTATTTACTCTACTCCCTCCGTTTCAGTTTACAAGTCCTACGTGTATACCTAGGTTGTCAATTTTATCACCCTAATATAAACTATATAACACAAAATTATACTGTTTGAAAATAGAACATCTAAAAGTTATATCGGTATATTTTTTGTAATATATGGCTTGTATTATGTTGGTCAAATTGACGACCTAGGGGCACGCGCACGCCTTGTAAACTAAGAGAGTGGGAGTAGCGTATTATAGTTGACTGAAGTTAAACTTCGTAAAGTTTGACCAAGTTAATAAAAAAAGTACAAACATTTATTATAACAAATTTATATGATATGAAAGTACATTCAGTAATAAATCTAATGGTATTGATTTGATATTGTATATAGTAATATTTTTGTTTATAAATTTTGTCAAAGTTTATAAAGTTTGATTTTGATTAAAGTTAATACGCGGACTAAATAAAAACCGAGGGAGTGCTTATTTATTTATTTTAGAAAAATAGTCCTTAGATGTTCGGCCGGGCGAACTTCAATTCATGGATCCGCAAGTGACCTGCTACCTGCTGCTGGCGCCAAAAATTATGCACAAGGAAAGTGACCTGCTGAAACTGAAGCCTAGCAGCCAGGTGTCACAACCAGCGGAAGTTTCTCCTTCCTTCGATCACAAACGCAAATCTCAACTAGATCCTCCCGCAGCCGGTCCCGGCCTTTTATCCCCAGCCATTCCCCGCCACTCCCAGCTGCCACAGCGGATAACTAAAGCTAAGCAATCACAAGAACTCACGCACGCACGCACACGAAGAACACAGAGACCAGAGGAGCATAAAAAAGATTAGCAAGATGCAAGCATTCCTCGCCTACTCGATCCTTCCGAATCCATGCTCCAGATCCTTCTTCCCGCGTCCAACAAATCGACCCCAGTTCCTCCTGTCCTCGGTTTCGGAATCGAGGACGGGTGCTGCTCCCACCGCGAGAAGATGCGGTGGGACGGGCCGGAGCGTGGTGACCGCGGCGTCATCGTCCCCGGCGGTGGCCACCACGGCGACGGACGTTCCCGGGACGATGAAGGCCTGGGCGTACGAAGAGTACGGGGACGCCAGCGTGCTTAAGCTCGACGAGGCCGTGTCGGTGCCGGCGGTGGGCGAGGACCAGGTGCTGGTCAGGGTGGCGGCCGCGGCGCTCAACCCCGTCGACTCCAAGCGGCGTATGGGCAAGTTCAAGGCTACCGACTCCCCACTCCCGGTGAGCTCGGGCGCCCCTTCAGTTTCACTTCCTTCCGAGTTCGAGGCTTCGAGCTCTTGATTTGATCACTTGTGTCGTGGTTGGTCTGCAGACTGTTCCAGGGTACGACATGGCCGGACTGGTGGTCAAGGTCGGCAGCCAGGTGAAGAGCCTCAAGGAAGGCGACGAGGTGTACGGCCACATCAGCGAGAAGGTCCTGGAGGGACCCAAGCAGTTCGGCTCGCTGGCAGAGTACACCGCCGTGGAGGAGAAGCTGGTGGCCCTCAAGCCCAAGAGCATCGACTTCGCGCAGGCCGCCGGTCTGCCGCTCGCCATCGAGACCGCCCATGAGGGCCTCGAGAGGGCAGGCTTCTCCGCCGGCAAGTCCATCCTTGTCCTCGGCGGCGCCGGCGGAGTCGGGACCCTTGTCATCCAGGTCCGACATTGCTCCCACTTCAGTTCAGTCTCCAAATGGACTGAATTTCTCTCCAGTCAAGCAATAGCCAGCTGAACTGAACATCATTTTTACACTGTGATAATGCGTAATGAAGCTGGCGAAGCAAGTTTACGGCGCGTCGAAGGTGGCGGCGACGGCGAGCACCCCGAAGCTGGAGCTCCTGAAAAGCCTGGGGGCCGACGTGGCCATCGACTACACCAAGGAGAACTTCGAGGACATGCCGGAGAAGTACGACGTCGTGTTCGACGCAGTCGGTAAGTTCCTTTGTCAACAGTACAGAAGACTGCCAAAACACGCACACCAAGCAGTAGTCCGGAGCTGACACATGCTCGGGGGTTTCAGGCCAGGGCGAGAAGGCGGTCAAGGTGGTGAAGGAGGGCGGCAGCGTGGTGGTGCTCACCGGCGCGGTCGCGCCCCCGGGGTTCCGGTTCGTGGTCACCTCCGACGGGTCCGTCCTGGCGAAGCTCAACCCTTACCTCGAGGCCGGCAAGGTGAAGCCGGTGGTCGACCCCAAGGGGCCCTTCCCCTTCTCCCAGGTCGTGGAGGCGTTTTCCTACCTCGAGACCGGGCGAGCCACCGGCAAAGTAGTCATCTCACCTGTTCCATGAGACACTTCTGTAAATAGCTAGCACAAGTGATGTGTTTTTGTCAGAGTTTACTGAGCAAATATTTGTTGGATCGTGCGTATAAACAGAAAAATATGTGATGTTATCAGAGATGGCAGTAGGTTCCTGGCGTATTACAATGAACATAAATCTTTTTTTGTTCAATCTGTACCTGGCCTTTCACCATTCAGTTAAGTTTCAGATGCTTCAAAAGGCTACAGAGGGTTGTACTGCTTTCCTGAATTTCCAAAGTGAAAGTGAGCGCGCTAATTATTCCGAGGCAATCGACAATTTAACACCTTGATGATTAACTAGCCTACGCGGTAGGATTTTATTAGGATCAGAATGAAGAACTTGAATGATTACAGTGCCTTACGGTAGCACACCGGAAGTGGTTTAATGTAGGGAACCACTAGGCATCAGACTAGTGATGCTTAGCCTCCCGTCAGATCAGTCGATTTCTGCAGTTACTAGTGTTAAACATATGATTTAGGAACTGCTCGACACCCCTAACCTGGGGTGTGGCTATCTCATTATATAGAGGTATCCAAGGGGTACAATACAATGTTACAATACAGATATACAGAGGTTACGTATATACAGTCTAACACCCTCCCTCAATCTTAACTATGTCCTGAAGTACAAAGCAAGTTAAGATTGCGTCTACAGCCTACAAACTGTGATTGTGGAAGAGGCTTCGTGAAGATGTCAGCAAGTTGATCCTTTGACGAGATGAACTTGATACAGAGTAGCTTCTGTGCAACACGTTCCCGAACAAAGTGATAATCCACCTTAATGTGTTTTGTCCTAGCATGAAACACCGGGTTAGAAGAAAGATATGTCGCACCAATGTTGTCACACCACAGGACCGGAGGACGAGCTTGAGGAACACGCAACTCTCTCAACAGAGACTGTACCCATATGATCTCAGCAGTTGCATCAGCAACAGCTTTGTACTCAGCCTCAGTACTACTGCGAGACACAGTTGCTTGCTTGCGAGCATTCCAGGCGATCAAGTTAGGACCCAGAAATACCGCATAGCCCCCCATGGATCGCCTGTCATCCGGACTACCAGCCCAATCTGCATCAAAGAAAGCCGAGAGCTCATACGACGGTGCAGACTGAAGAAGCAAACCATAGGAGGCACTAAGACTGACATAGCGCAAAATACGCTTCACAGCTGACCAGTGAGACGTCCTCGGTGCATGCAAAAACTGACAGACACGGTTGACTGCATAGGAGATATCAGGCCTAGTAATAGTAAGGTATTGCAGACCACCAACGATACTGCGATACTCAGTAGCATCATCAGACGAGAGAGGATAACCGTCAAGAGCAGACAACCGATCAGTGGCAGACATCGGAGTGTTAACATGTTTGCATGTGAGCATTCCAGCACGACGCAACAAGTCCAAGGCGTACTTTTTCTGAGTGAGAGTCAAACCAGCAGAGGACCGTGAAACCTCAAGACCAAGGAAAAAATGAAGAGCACCTAAATCCTTGACAGCAAAATCATCACGGAGAGCAATCACAAGGCGATCAGCAGCAGCAGCAGTGGAACTGATGAGAATGATATCATCAACATAAACCAAAAGATACATCGTAACCTCAGGGCGCTGGAGGAGAAACAGTGACGTATCAGCAGTGGAGGGAGTAAACCCAAGAGCCCGAAGAACAGATCCCAGGCGAGCATGCCATGCACGAGGAGCCTGTTTGAGCCCATACAGTGCCTTAACCAGACGACAGAGATGGTGAGGTCGTGTCGGATCAACAAAACCAGGTGGCTGACGCATATAAACCTCCTCCTCCAGAATGCCATGCAGAAAAGCGTTCTGCACATCAAGCTGACGAAGGAACCATCCGCGAGTAACCGCAATAGACAGTAGTAATCGAATGGTAGTAGGCTTGATGACGGGACTGAAAGTGTCTTCATAATCAAGACCATACCTCTGTTTGAAGCCCTTTGCAACTAACCGTGCCTTGTAGCGTTCAATGGAGCCATCAACATGTCTCTTGAGTTTGAAAACCCACTTGGAATCAATGACGTTGACACCGGACACTGGAGGAACAAGACGCCAAGTATCATTCTGTTGGAGGGCCTGAAACTCTTGTTCCATTGCAGCACGCCAATGAGGAATACTTAGTGCAGCCTGAAAGTGACGAGGCTCTGCAGTGGGATCGCCAGCACTGTGAGCCATGCACGTAGCAAGCCACGCAACCGTGCCATCCGTCTGCTTCTTTGGACGAAAACCACCAGACTGGCTCCGTGTGCGAGGACGAAGGGTGACAGCAGGTTCAACTGGCAAAGTCGGTGCAGCAGAGGATGTTGACGAGGCCAACACCGAGTCGTACGAGTCAGGCACGCCAGTGATCGAGGCAGGGCTGGTCGGCGACCCTAGCGCAGAGGCGGACCGGGCCGGAGTAGGTGACGAGGCCTCCGGGCTGGCGGCAGCAGCAGTCGGCCCGGGCGAGAGACCCGCCAGTGGCCCGGGCGAGCCACGCGAGGCTGGCGCTGGTGAGGCCTGCGCGTCGGGCGAAGCGGGCGCTGGCAAGGCCATTGGTGCTGACGAGGCAAGCGAGCCAGGCGAGCCCAGCGCCCGTGGGGCCAGCATGGAGCCAGGCTGACCCGGCGCCCGCTAAGCAGGCGAGACGGTGACGGGTTGGCAGGTGCCGCCCGTCATGCATGGCACATGCACGTCCCGACCAGGGAGCTCATCGGTGACCTATTCATCAAGTAGCTCAAGCCGGGCACCGCGTCCAATACCTGCAGCATGATTAGGGAGCAACGAAGGGGCATATGCAACATCCACAAATTGATCAGGCGTAGGTGTGGACACAGGCACCGGTGGTGTAGAAGTGGTAGGGTTAGTCGGAAGTGCACGAAAAGGAAAAACATTTTCATCAAATACTACGTCACGAGAGATGTAGACGCGGTTGGTAGGAACATGCAAGCACTTGTACCCTTTGTGAAGAGGACTATACCCGAGAAAAACACACTTCTTAGACCGAAACTCTAACTTGCGTTTGTTGTAAGGACGCAAGTGAGGCCAACATGCACAACCGAACACTTTGAAAAAAGTGTAGTCTGGAGTCTCATTAAGCAGAAGTTCAAGAGGGGTTTGCATTTTCAGAAGTCTCGAGGGAAGCCTGTTTATGAGAAAACAAGCTGTGGAGAAGGCATCACTCCAGAACCGAAACGGGACGGAGGCATGAGCGAGCAAGGTTAGACCAGTTTCAACAAGATGGCGATGGTTACGCTCGGCAATACCATTCTGCTGATGTGTATGAGGACATGACACGCGGTGCAAAATCCCAAGTTTGTTAAAAAACGAGTTGAGGTTGTGGTATTCACCCCCCCCCCCAGTCGGATTGGGCATGGATGATTTTCTGCTTAAGAAGACGCTCAACGTGTGCTTGAAACTAAATGAAGACATCGAACACATCAGACTTACGTTTAATAAGATATAACCAAGTAAAACGGCTGTAAGCATCAACGAAACTGACATAATAATTGTGACCACTAACGGATGTCTGGGCATGAC